GTTCTGMTATCCAACCATTCATAGATCAGCATTGCTTTTCTTTTCCCATGATTCTATTATTAAAGTTTTTAATATCATACTCCTGATAATCATTGCATAGAATATTAGCTGCAATTGCTATTCATTTTCTGTTTACTCATTTTAAACAGACACTGTCCTGAGCACTTTGAGCATTGTTTTATTCATAACAACCAGGAATTAGATGCCCCTTTATGTGAGAAAATAGACCATCAGATGAATTTAACTGCCCATGCCACCTATATAAAAAATGTTAGAAGATCAATTCAAATCAAGGAAATCAAATCACAGAGTTTGGACTCTTAAAGCAGGTGGCTAATAGTATAATATAYGGTATATGTTATTAAATGTAAGATTTCCTATGGGTAAAAAAACATGGGTAAAAATAAAATATGAATCTTTAACCTAATTAGAATGCTAAGGTTAGCAGGGTGCAGTGGCACATGACTGTAATCCCAGTAGCTCAGGAGGCTGAGACAGGAGGATCGCAAGTTCAAAACCAGCTTCAGCAAAAAGAGAGGCGCTGAACAACTCAATGAGATYCTGTCTAAATAAAATACAAAAAGTATGGCTGGGGATGTGGCTCAGTTCAGTCCCGACTGCCCCTCCCACCAAAGAAGAAGAATGACAAGGTTAATAAAGTTTTCATAATAGCAAGAGTATATTGGCAATACAAGTTCAAGACTGGGAACAAAGGGGGGAAACATCATTCAAAGAAAATTATTTAATAAAACACACTTGTTAGCAATTAAATGATTAATTTGGAGCTTTGCCACCCTGATAGTGCTTACTCCCTGTTTAGACTTAGCAGAATAGATTTCATCCATCTCAAGAACATTTGAGATCCAGGCCTAACTGGTATGTGATCAGCTCACTCACAGAGCCAGTGTCATAAAAGAGATTATTGTATTAATTCTAGTATTTTTATCTTTGATGTACTCTTACAGATCTCCTAAGCAAACCTGGGAAATAATATATTCTGAGATATATCAATATGATTTTTAGTTAGTTCTTAATTATTTAAATTATTCTGATACAGTTAAAAAAAGTCTGAAAAAATTTTACCCTTGTGCTAGTCACTCTCATAATAAATTTACTCTTGAAAAACTCATTAACTGGAAGACTGGTGTAATTCAGATTTCAATGCCAAACTACAATGAATTCTACATTGAAAGTCTTCTTTTWAAAAAAAAGTTATCTTTTTAACCTGCTGAAGAGGTGAGAAGAGATAATTCATGCAGGAATTTTCCTTTGGTTCCTTCAGTGTATTTAACAAGTGGCTCAGTGTTTGGGAAGTGTCAACAGTCACAGTGCTTGTACTTGAAGAGAACTCCTGCATTGTCTTGTCAAGTCCTACTACAATGTGAATCAAATCTCAGACTTCAAATGAACAGGATCTTCCTCTTTCTCACATCTGTATTTCTCATTACAAAGCTGTAAAAMGCTTTTTAAAGGCAAGACTGGTTTTAAATTAAGATTTATATCTTAGAATCTTAATTGAGATGATCACTCTGTTCTTACTTAGTTTTCTATATGCAAAGTTGATGCCTGTTTTCTTCTAGCTTATTTCCAAAATCAGAATCTGATGCTTCCTAAAAGGAAGTCTTTGTAAGCATAAGTTTTATTAATTGCTCTAAATTGCTATCAGGATAATTAGAATATTAGSCATTTAGTACTTGTTTAGCCCCCAAGCTTAAACACCACACTAAAATAAATGTTGCTCAACTTATTTTGTTAATCTTAAGTGAGTGACTTGGGCAAGAAGTTTAATATTTAAGTTTATTTTATTTATGATATCAACATACTTAATATGATATATTTATAATGAATTTATAAAACATTTAAAATATAAAAGAACAAATTTATATATAATATTTTWAAAAGATTTTCATTAATATTTAACCAATATTTATTAAATATTTAATATTTAAATTATATTTAAAGTTTTTTAAAATTTATAATATAATCCCAGCCTTAGGTCTTGGACACATCAAAATGAGATTTTATGCACCTTAGCCCAAGCAGTTTGGAGATGTCCTTGACACTATCTGAGTTCTTTGCATCTGTCCTGGTCTCTGATGGGTGAATTCAAAGGCAGTCCTAGATTAGTGCTATCAACTCCACCACATGTATTTCAAAGCAGAAAGGGACTGTGAGAAGTTACCATTCAGAGTTATTAAGAGATTCCAGAGAGCTAAGTGTACATGAGGACTTGTGCATGGGAAGCATGTATGTATGCTCACTTTCACTGCATCATTGTCCTGGGAACAAAGTCAGACTTTGGGATGAGCCTTCCTGCCTCATTCTAGGCACATTATGGGAAAACTACATTACATGAGGCAAGGAGAGACTATAGTTTCTTTTTTCCTAATGATATTATTTTATTAATATTTTCTTCATGCATATGAAGGAAAACTTTTCTTATTTCAATGTATAGTCTTTGTTCTAATATCTGAAAATATATAGTTCTAAGATCTGACATTTCACCTACTTCTTTTTAYAAGTCCCTTGATCTTGTTCATTAAGCAAATATTTTCTTTGATATTTTTTCCTACTGGTATATTCAGATTTATTTTATATTGTGAAATTTAAAATTTTTATTCCAAAATTAGTGTTGCACATTTATCAGAAAAAAATTGGTTCCTTTAAGAATAAATACACATTTAAAAGTATCAGTATGTCTATACAAAAAATTTAAGTGATAATTATTAGTGTTTATTATTAAAACCTGAAACAATATCTGTAATAATCTTGTTCATAGCTTATCATATCATAATTTCTATTTTTCCCTCTATTGTAAATACTTTTTTTGGTGTTCACATGTAACTCAAAGCCCTATCTATAAGAATAAAGCTTTATCATCCACACTATTTCAGAGATCTCTGATTTTTTAATAGAATTATACATATAYGTTTTAGAACTGTAATAATAGCTAACATTTATGAGCAATACCTATGTGTCAAGTACAGTGCTAARTGTTTCATCAAAATTATCTTATTTAATCTCCATTTTACAAATAAGGATCTTAAGCTTGGGGGTTTGAGTAATTGCCTAAATTAATACAGTTGCTTGTAAGTGTCAGATTATGAGGGTAAAAGCCACTTTTCAGAAATACATATTAACAAACATTTTAGACACKTGGCAGGTGATGGGCTGAAGTATGCAATATTTGGCAGTGATTTGTTCATTAATATAATGCATACACTTTTATTGATTATAGGATTAAAATTAATGCAAGGTATACAGGGGACAAACTCAATATCACATACTGATACCATAAACTGTAGACCATGCACTTATTCCCTTTCACATGTGACTATAAATTTAAAGTCATAAATCTGAATTGTAGTTCTTACAATAGACTTCCTGGTGCCTGGTGGGTTTATATATGTCTATTATGTTCATTTTCACCACATTTTCTCGTTGAACAGGCAGGAGAGAGATTCATGCATACTTTCTGACAAATAAAGTTTTYAGAATAATTTTTTGGGAGGATCAGCAAATTTGGTTATAAGTTAGAATATTTGGTCAGCAGAACCATTTGAGTTGCATGCTTTACCCCAGTTTACTTTTAAGATGYAGAAAAAGAGCATCAATATTTAATTAGTGTCATTCCAGTATTCTAACTTTAAGTATTTGTCAAGTTATACATCATGGTTGTTTTATAAAGTTGTTTTGTAAAGTTTTTCTCAGGACTCTAATGCTGAGTGTTCATCTCCTGATAAGTTGTAAACAAAGATTACTTAGGGTCTGCCCTTGTTCAATAGAGGCATGTAATAAAAAATGGATTCCATCTCAGAGTAGTCATGAGAATAGGAGAGGTGGCAGAGAAGCTGTACTAAGTGAGGCATGAAGAGAAGTTATTTCAGCCCTCTTGACTCAATGGAGACACATATGCATTCAAAATAAAAGATTTCTTCAGGTTTAGAGATTTTTAACAATAGGAGCTGATGATCGATGTAGCAGAGTAGTATGCTCTAACGATTTTTTGGATCAAACCAACTTGACCTTTCATTTTTCATGAAATCCTGCAGGAAAATGCACATACACCATTTTTCCCCTTCCACCTTTCCTAACAATTATTTTGATTTCCATGATTCGAATGACTTTCTGAAATGCTTTTATGAGGAGTAGGAGGGAATTGGGGACCATTTTGTTCAACGTGTGATAGAAATACTCCAGGACTGTGAGAAAAGTAATAAAAGAAAATTGATCTGATCATTAAAACATCTAGCCCTATCTCATCTTTCTGGTCACTAAGCCAAAAGTATAGTAGCTGCCTATATGTAACTTTTTTTCCCCTATCAAATATAGCATGATTTTATTTTTGTTAGAGATCATGTCTTTCAACGCTTTTTGCTAATTGCCCCCAAACAGCACATTTACATCCTTGTCAAYAAAATGTTGACATAGGACATGCACTGTGACTCAGAACAATGGCCATCAGAAGAGGCAAGCCCTTGTCTTACCCAAATCTGCCTCAGGGTTCTTCAGCTTCTTGTTCAGAGAAGCAAAGAGTGTGAGTCAATTGGAGAAATAAAGTTAAATGAGAGAAAAGGAGAAAAGATATAGGTTTTGAAGAAAGCTTTGGAGGAGAGTGATGAAACACTAAGTAGCATAGACTAAAAAGAAATAGTATACAAATGGGTAAACAGACTGGGAAGAGTGCAGCTGTGGTTCAGGGGAATTTTAAAAAACCAATCTGTGCATCTTTCCATAATGAGAATATGGAAATTCACTTATTTGTTTAGTTTTTACAAAAGATGTAGCATTTCACATGCATCCAGTAGCTGAATTTCTGAGGTCACAAAACAGCCTGAGGAGCGTTTTAGTTAAGTCTGTATAAAACAAACAGAGCAATGTGGCATGCAATGACATGTTATGGTTTTGAATATGGGGCTAAATGACTACAAATATCATCTCAGAAGACCTTGTGAATTTGAATTAAATAATTAATATTTAAAATATTTAGACATACTCACCCAACAGACAGGAAAGGCTCCTTTGATTCAAGCCTATGAAAAAATATATGAAAGATTTATTTTAATATAACAATTTGCTGTACACTCAAARTTGCTTTTACATGAATCTGACTCACTGGATGGAAATACATGGTTTAGCAGTAGAAAATGCTGTAAATAATATATTAAAACTTAATCTGAACTAATTCAAATTCTGGCTRGATAATACATAGGCGAAGTAAAATGAGAGAGTTTTGGAATGGGTAACATTTAAATAGTAGATTAAAATGCAAATAGTGTTAGTCTAATTCCAGTGCGTACTCTCTGTATCTTATTTTCTTTATTCGTGATAATTTGTGGAACKTTCAATATAACTATTTGAAGTTGTAATAKCGAAAAAATGTATAATGTTTTCGGCTACACATTGGCTGAATAATTGATTTTGAGGGTAAATACTCTATGATGAAGAAGGAAGCAGCATGTCATATGTGATCATTTAGTGACAGTAGTTTCCTTGGGGTGGGGGATGTGGTAGTGTTGGGTCATAGATTAGGGTTCTTCTTCCTAAGAACTGGGTATTCTCGCTACCTCATCACATATCAAAAGTGAAGTCTAATCCTGAAGGTTCTGGATAGTTGTGACATCTTGAGAAAGCTACTTAAAAAAAAAAAAAACACTACAGATTATTTTTCCTCATCATAAAATGGACTAGAATTGCTTCCACCTAATAACTGGTATTTTTTAAAAAGAGAAATAAGTCTCGAGAAGATCCCTTTGTACATATTTTCAAATTAATAATTATGGAGACCACTTAGTTGGCATATATTGGTCATGTTATTTTCATTGTGGATTTCTTAATGTACAATTATGGTTAAATGTAGACAAATACTGAAGACATTGTAAATACATGCTGGTTTCAGGTTTTAAAATATTTAAAAATATAAGAATGGTTATAAGGAAATGGCAAGAAATTTAGTTCTGTAGCATTACTGCATATCAACTGACTATTTTACATAGTAAAATGGACAATTAAAGTGACTGTCTTAGAATTAGTTTAAATCACTATTTTGTTTTTACTTCATTCTGTATATGGAAAAATATAGCTTATTAGAATTATGCCTTGGTGCACGATGGGAAGAGGTGGCATGAGTTTCTTCCGCATGCCATCTTGCTTTGGGTGAACAATCATAGCAGCAGGGGAACTTTTATAGGGAGCCAGTACCCTAGCAATCCCCCTGCAGAGCTGCAGGTGGGGGAGAAGATAAAAACAACAATTGGTGCAAATAGTTTAGAGGCGTATATTTATGTAACCTTTTCCTTTTGTAGACTCCAATGTTATTGACATCCCTACCTTCATGTAAATGAATTCCCATAATGTGTTATTTTTCTTATTTGTAATATAGATAAGCCAACAGCAGTGGAGAGAAAAAGTTGAAGATAAGTAATGAAAATATTTGGCTGCACTTGCTTTACAAAACATGGCAAGTGCCAAGTGATCAAAGAAAATGACATGACAGAAATTAAAGGGATTCTATATAAGGACTAGAAGGCTGTTTACTTATTTGAACTATCACGATAATATCACTTCTCCCTCATTTTTGGTCTTATAACCCTTGAACAGAAGATAACATGTGAACACTAGTGGAATTCCTTTTCTCTGGACTTGTCAATCATTTCACCCCATCATTTTTTCAGATTTAGGGTATGTGCGTTATTTGCTTGTGTGAAATGGTACCGTTGAGCCACCCACACCATATATTTAAGAACTATATTATATAAATTCGTTTTGGGTATCATAAACAACTGGAATAAAAGTGAGGCCTATTACATTTTGTCTTTGCTCTGAAATTGTCCAAATGTTGTGTTCAGAGAGTATTTGAAATAGTAATTATTGATGAATTTTTCTTTTTTTCTGAAGGACTCAGACATGTTGCTGTGGATGGGAACATAGAGGGACACATGTCCCACTGATCCCAGTGATTCCTATGGCTAGTTTAGCTAGCTAATTAGCAGCTCCTTCTCTACTGTTTCACTTACCACTTTGATTGTCTCCTTCCAAATGTTTAATAGCATCAGAAGAGAACTCAGTTTTCAAAATAATGTTGGATTGAAAGTTTGATTGATTCTGTAAATCAGGGATTTGCAAACTTTGACCAACTGATCAAATCTTACACACCATCTTCTTTTACACAAATCACAAATTAAGAATGGTTTTTACATTTTTTAAAGAGGTTGGAAAATACTGATATTTTGTGACATGTGAGAGTTATATGAGATTCAAATCTTAGTATCCCCAGTAAAGCTCATTGGACTCATTGTAATGCAGCCATTCTATTTCATATAAATATTGTTTAAGGATTCTTTTGTGCTACAGAAGTAAGTTGAGGAGTTCGTTGTGACCAAGACTTTATGTTTACAATCCTAAAATATTTCCTATATGTCTTTTATAGAAAAAGTGTACTAACGCATGTCATATAATTATCTTATTGGAAGGAAATGGAAATAGCTTCTCAAATTGAGGCAATTTTTATTTTTAATGCCTATCAAGATTTCTCCCAGATTTAGCAATTCAGAATAATTTGAATTTCTTTCTACACCAACATTTCAGCCTCTGAACCTATTGACAGCTAAAATGCTACTGTAATGACACCACCTTTCTTGACAATTTCCACAACCACAGGAAAATGCCCACACATTTTCGTGCTTCATAAATGTGCCTACACCTTTTTTTTTTGCCACATTGTTCTTTTACTTACTCAATGCTTTACTGTAGAGAAATCACCTATTTATTTTGCAGACACATCTAGTTTAACTTTGCATTGGTGCCTTGAATGTTCTATTTTCATACCAGAATACTGATTTCCTTTTCTTCCCTTTGCACAATCTAGTTATCTTCCAAGTTTCTCCTTTTAACTCCCTTTAACAGCTTCATMTTTAGGGACAATTCCATCTGAGCTTCTAATACTTCCCTCCATCATTATGATATATTTTCCGGACAATAGTTTTGGATTGAGAAGTGAACTTAGAGTCTGAGTAAGACTGGTAAAAATATATATTTTTGAATTCATTTATTTGTTATAATCAGTTATACATGACAGCAGAATGCTCTTTGATTCACTGTACACAAATGGAGCACAAGTTTTTGACTTCTCTGGTTGTACCCAAAGTAGGGTCACACTATTGGTGCAATCATACATGTACTTAGGGTAACAATGTCTGTCTCATTCCACCATCTTTCCTATCCCCAGACTGGTAAAACTATTAAACCTGTATCTCTGCTTAGATAAGAGACTCCCAATAGTTTTGTGTTAAGCCTGCAATAGGTCCAGTCTGGAGATGCGCCATAAACTGAGCAGAAATAAGGGATAATTGCTCATCAGTCATTCTAAGCCACAAAATATAAGTCCTAGGTACCAAGACTCCCAAGCATGTTCCATGCTCACCTGCAGAGCAGGAAACTTTGGAAGGGAACCACTATCCAGCAACTACCACATGTCTCATCTTTAACATGAAGATACTGCAGAGCAAGTGACAACTGACTCAGGTTGGGTGATGCTCTGCTTTGTAACTGGTTGCTTAGTCATGATTCATTGCATTGAGTCAAGTTCCTTAGCTTTGATATGTTTCAGAGAACCTGACCACTCTCATCTTCCTCAAGTATGTAGCAAACATCCTAACCAACTCAAGGGGTTACTGTGAAGAATAAGGAGTTATGTACTTAGAGTATCTAACACAGTTCCTGGAACAGAATAAACCCCCATGGTCATTTGCCAAAGACAAATTCTTAATTTTAAATGCAGAAACTGTSTGAATGTATGAAAAGCTCATTTCAGTAATTTTTGTCTCTTAAACTGAAAAACAAAGCACAGGAAGAAAATGAGGAGATACATCTCTTTGGAGAACATTGTTCATCAATTTAGTTTTAGAAACAGGTGATTATATTGCTATATGCCTAGAGAGAACTTTCCTAAGGTTGTTTTACAAGGTAATTGTTTTGTGAAGAAAGGGATTGATTTTATCTTTCTTAAGATTTACTTTTCACAGTGAATTTAATAATACTTCATTTAGGACCCACTAGAATTTAGGAGCAGAATAAGATAAACAAACCGTAGCCTTCAGAAAAAGTAAGAAAGAGGAGAGACATAAAATAGAGCAAGAATGAAGATCAATACGTGGTCCTAAAAGAATTATAACATTTCACACTTAACAAAAAATAAGCTGTGTTTACTAAAGGCCAGGTATTATTCAAAATTCTTTTGAAGTACTAATTTATTTAAAGATTGTTATACCCTCTGAAGTAGTTCCCATTTACAGATGAAGAAACTGAGACCAAAAGATGATAAGTACTTTGCCCAAAGTCACAAAGACAATGGCTGAGTTAGGATTTGAATTCAGGCCTTCTGGCTCCAAAGATCATGCCTCATGCCTCCCATCCTGGGCTATATCTCAGATTCCTTTTKTGTGTGTGTATATTTTTGTTCACATGTGCCTTATGGCACTGTCATACTTTCTGTATTAATACTTTTGTGCTCCACTGGGACATCTCATCTGGTTTTAAATGTCATCTACATGGTACCAAAAGCAATTACAGATTCAATGCAATTATTATTAAAATTCCAATGTCATTCTTCATGGAAATAGAAAAAGCAGTCATGAAATGCATTTGGAAAAATAAGAAACCCTGAGTAGCCAAAAAAAAATTATTAGAAAATTGAAGCAGGAAGCATCACAATACCAGACCTTAATTATACTGAAGAGATATAGTGCCAAAAACAGCATGAAGCTAGGCACAGTGGTACACACCTATAATCTCAGCAACCTTAGGGGTTTGAGACAGGAGTATCTTGAGTTCAAAGCCAGCCTCAGCAATGGTTATAAGCAATTCAGTGAGACCTTGTTTCTAAATAAAATACAAAATAGGGATGGGGATGTGGCTCAGTGGTTGAGTGCTCCTGAGTTCAGTATGGAGTATCCCCCTACTTCGCCCCCCAAAGAACCCAGCATGGTATTGGCAGCAAAAAGAGGCAAGAAGACCAGTGGAACAGAATAGAAAA